CCCCAACTTAATTATCAAAAATGAAATTAATTAATTGGGTATGGAAAAGACCAAAATACCCTTCAAAAATCCAGCTTTGACTTTCCTTAGCTAGACAGCCCAACTTCAAATGGACATATCTCATACGAACTCGAAATTGAGCAAACTTGGCGGCGTTGGAAAGATAATTCAAAGATCTTTCCTACGGTATCTGGTAGCACACCTAATTACTCATCCTGAACTAGGAGTTATGGTCGTTTGAAGTTGATTCAAAACTCAAACTCAACATAACTTAACCAATTTTGATTTTTCATTAATTTCAAAAATGACTCTTTCTAATTCTAGCTCTTTCTAGTTCTTTCGAATAGCGAAGTATTACATAATACATATACATATGATGTGGCAAAATGACAAATCAAATAATAACACGTGGCATTTCAATTTAAAATAATTATAAGAATAAATTTTAAATATAAACAAATTTATATCTAAATCTTAAAAAAATCAACTTAAAAAAAAAAAGGAAATCATACACCCTCACCCCCCCCCCAACGCACTCCCTGCACTGCAGCTCACCTCTCCCATTCTTCTCTTTCACTAACACTTGCCCACCATGGTTAGCTCTCAATATAAGAAAAATTGGAGTTTTAATTTATATATATATTCAAAGTATGAATTTATAATTTTTATCTCTCTCTATGCTTCTTCTTCATTTTTATTTGAATTGATAGTGTTTTGTTAAAAGATCTGTTCTCTTTATTTATTGTGAATTCAAAAAACAAAATTTCATTTCTATTCGATTGATGGGAAAGAAGGGGTGTGGGTCGGGGGAGATGAAGAGTACTGAGAAAATATTTAAATAATGGTCTTCATTTTTTTCGGTAAAGAAGATGCGGATGGTGATCTTTCCGGTAAGATACAATAAGAACTTTTTCACACTACTTTTTGTTTTCTATAAATTGAGAGATTTTCTCTCATTTTAAGAGAATCAAATTTTTGGACTTCTACTACTACTATTAAATCTAGTATTCTAAGTATACTTTACTGCCGTTGAGTGGTTCGCTGACACTGTGATTTTAAGTATTGATATATCGGTGAGTAAGATCGTTCTATCTTGAGAGGATATATTTCATTAACCGCTCGGGTACTTCAGGGGAATAATTTCCTTAAGGGGACACTGTGCATTCAGTGGGCTCGATTATCTTCTTTAAGAAAAATATTTTTAAAATTGTTTCTATTCTGTTTCTGAGTTTATTTTCTCTTCTGGTTTTAATTTTTTAGTTTTGAAAATGCTCTTTAAACTTTGTTGTTTCTTATCAAGTTCTTTAAAGTTTTTGTTCTAAATATCTTAGGAATACAAGATGAACAACAATTATTATGAAGAAATAGTGGCAGATAAAGAGAAAGAGGTTGTTACTTTTTTAAGAAAAAAAATAAAAATTAAAAAAGAAAAGGAAAATGTAAATATATTAATTTCACCGCCCATCAAGGAGTGCATTACATTTTTTGTGCCACATTTGCATAAAGTGTCTAAGTGGTTCAAATTCGAGAGGATATAAGTGTTCAATAGGCATAAGTCCTAATGGAGGTATCTAAGTGAATTATGCGTAAAACTTTAAAGGCCAAAGATGACTTGAGCCAAATTAAAATAATACTTGTATGAAACAATAGCCTGCAATCTTTCCTTTCTTTTCTTCTATTTTTGGTTTTGCGAAACAAAAGATCAGAAAAAGAAGAACGAATCAACTCTTCTAAAGGTGTGATAGGTAGGATGGAAAATGTTTTTCACGGAAAATAATTCCTTAGAAAATGTTTTCTTGGAAAATGAGTGAGTCTTTTACTTAGTATTTTTTAGTGTTTGATAAGTAAGCAACAAAATATTATTTTAAGAGCATTTATATGTTATCTTGCAAAACGTTATGAATAAAGATAGAGATGGAGAGTGGGGTGGGGGTAATTTGGGGGATGGTGTGGGGGTTGGGATGGTCAAGGGGGGGTAAGGGCAGGGGCGATTTTAAGCTTAAAAAATGGGTCACCTGAACCCGTGGTCATCCGACAAAACTCGATGTATTACTTGTATAATTTTAAAATATATCAAATAGCAACTGAAGGAACCCATGAACACAAACAACTAGATGGTTCACTGGTTTGAGCGTCAATTTTCCACCTTGAGGTTGAGGGATCGATTCCCAGATGCTGCATTTTCACAACCTTGCATTTTATTTTATTCACAAAAGAGTTTCTGCATTCAGCCTTTTTTAAACTTCTTCTAATGACTTTTTCTTATAATAAATTTATTATTTTGCAAATGTATTTAATATTTTTTTTATGAAAAACCTATATTTATTATTGCTAAAATAAATAAGGCCTCTCAAATTTGAAAGCCTAAATTAGTTGTCTTTTTTCTTAAAGGGACAGAGCCGCCCCTGACAATGATGCACCCGTCTTTTTGAAGTTCTAGATTCGCCTCTGGGTAAGGGATAGATAATTTATATGCGGAAAAGGTCAAATATACCTTTATACTATTGGAAATAGTTTAAATATATCATTCGTTATACTTTCGGTTCAAATATATCCCTCCCATTATACTTTGGTTTAAATATACCCCTAATTTTAACGTAAGAACACTTGTCAACTTAGGAATCAAATAACCCATCCCCAATTTTAAATACTGAATTCCTTTTAGAAACCCACCCATTTAACCTATTCCTAACCCGTTTTCATAGTCATCTTCTCCACTTGAGATTTTCATAAAAATCAGCACTTGATCACTACGGAAACTGCAATACCACAATGTGGCGGGTGATTTTTTTCACCAAAAATATTTCTTGCAGAACCTCCTGTGTGCTGGACCTTTCGTAGTTGAGTATTGATTTTAATGGAAGATTTAGCTAGAGAAGATGATTATGAAATGGGTTTGGTTCAAATTGGGTATATAAGAGCTGTGAACCTAAATAAGCCACAAAAACATAGAAGTGATCAAAATAAGCCACTACTTTAGTAAGTAACTAAAATAGGTTTAGTGGAAGAAAAAATTCCACTTTCTCTAATATTCTAAACATTTTTCGTTAGTCTCATAACATGTATATTTTAATATATAACGGAACTATTTCCTACACTTTATAAAATGGAACTATTTCTTACACTTTATGAAAAGTTACTTTACCTTTTCACTTTCTTGAATCCAAATTTGTATTTTTCTCCATTTGATTTCATATTAAATTAACTTTTAATTATTTTTTAGATTCATACTACGGGGCCTTCATCCACCGTTGAGGAGATCCCCACAACGATCATAGAGGATGTCGTTTCGACAGTTAATGAGGATCCCGTTGTGACACAAGTTTATGCTATTTATTTATTTTAAAATATTTACATTAGTTATTAATGCTTTGATTTTATATTAAATTAACTCTTAATTATTTTTTAGATTCATACTATAGAGCCTTCATCTACCGTGGATTCTAGCCCCACAACGATCATAGAGGATATCGTTCCGACAGTTAATGAGGATCCCGATGTGACACAGGTTTATGTTATTTATTTATTTTAAAATATTTACATTAGTTATTAATGCTTTGATTTTATATTAAATTAACTCTTAATTATTTTTTAGATTCATACTATAGAGCCTTCATCTACCGTGGATTCTAGCCCCACGACGATCAATGAGGATATCGTTCCAACAGTTAATGAGGATCCCGATGTGACACAGGTTTATGTTATTTATTTATTTTAAAATATTTACATTAGTTATTAATACTTTGATTTTATATAAGAAATGTAGTAGTAAAGACATACTTTTTGTCAATTAATTTTCAATTTCCACTACCTAACTTTGTATTTGTAGACCACTTTGTCACAACTCTCGTCTCCAGACGTTACTTTCATTATGCCAGTGGATGATATGCCTCAAACACCCGGAAGAAAAAAAATTGTTAAAAGAATTGTAAAGAATGTGAACATAAAGGATCTTCCGGCCAAAAAGAGGAAGAGGGACAATGAAGATGAGGATGGATATACGGGACTTAGACCGCGAGATGTTCTACGGATTTCAAGAAAGGGTTGTGGAACATAATATTATTATTTTTGTGTATGTATCTTTTTTTGAGGGTGTATAGTATTATTATTTTAATTATATATAGTTATTATTTTGTGTATGTATTTTTTTTTTTTAAAAGTGAATTAAAAAAAAATTGAAAATATAAACATGACTAGAGAATGATCAAAAATACGAATAAAAAGTTGCATAGAAATTGATACAAGAATAAATTAACAAAGTTAAACATCTTTCTTTAGCTACTACCATCATATGAGGCGTTTCGAGCTCGTGAAGGACAGTTGCGCCTATCATGGCCTATTTGTTTGCACGTTAAGCACTTGCGAGTGAGTGTACTTGCGGGAACATCCATTTCATTATGTATACGGGTGATTTTATTTACGCCCACTTTTCATAAATATTTTTTATTTGCTATCATAAGAAAAGGGCTATTAGGCCAATACTTTTCACCGCCGAGTGAATTAAATTGTCCAGAGTAGGCTTTTTGTAGCTACGCACACTGAATTCTGGTGCCATATGCTCCCATGCTTGATACCCAATTTGGTCAAATCCCTTTATTGCATGAGAACACGGAATGTGGTATGATTGCCATTTGCCACATTGACATTTTCCTTGTGATGCATTTACAATGTGCTTATTACCACCACGGCCATGATGCATATGTGTCTGCACCTCAAATATGTTTTCCTTTGTTGGTGATAGTTGATAGGTGTGTGTCGCTGTGACTTTTTTCGATTATCCTCAAAAATCTTGAATGGTTTAGGCATCCATTGTTGCTTTGTTGTACTAGCTGATTGACAAATTTTGATCTTGTAACAAACTGGTTCACAATCTGATTGTAAGTGAGTCTTACCATTGCAGTAACTGGCAGGCCCCTGGCTGACTTAAGAAGACCATTGAATGACTCAGAACTATTTGTTGTCAGTATTCCCTATCTCCTACCTCCATCCCTGTGCAATGTTCATTTGTCAAGATCGTTCTTCATTAACCACACATACGCTTCCGGGTTAATCTCCTTGATCATCTCCATTTTTTTCAAAAACTTTTTCTCCTGTGATTTGCAGCTACCCATAAAAAGTTGTTCAAAGTGACATTTTAAAAAAAATAATTCAAATTGGCCTTCAAATGTCTTAAACAAAAACGATGGAACCCAAATGGGGCCTGCCAATTGGGAGAATTATACACGGATGAGAGTATTCCGTGATGCCTATCTGAAATCAATGCTATATCTCTACGACCCTTGACAATGTGCAAGTGCAAATTATCCAAAAATAAACTCCACGTCTCCATGCTCTCATTCGTAACTATTGCAAATGCTAAAGGTAATATTGAGCCGTTACCATCCGTTGCAATCGCAATCAACAACTTGATATCATATTTTCCATAGACATGTGTTCCGTCAATCGATATAACAGGACGACAAAACACAAACCCATCAATGCATGGTTTAAAAGTCCAAAACACATAGTTGAATACATCTTCAATAACATCGATACGCCGCTCTGTTTTCCCTTCAACTATTGTTCCGGGATTGAAGTGTTTCAAAGCTTCCATGAACCTCGACAACTCGGCAAAAGAACCTTCCCAAGTACCATATACTTTTTCAAAAGCACGCTTGCGACCAATATAGGCTTTTCTTCTGCTTATCGAAATGCCATATGCTTTAAGAACGGCTGTTTGATAGTCTTTGATAGGAAACCTGAAAAGTAAAAATAATATTAATTATCAAATAAAAAATGAATATTTTCTTATTAAAGAAAAATCATCTAAGGATAAAATAGTACCTTGGCGTTTTTTCTATATCAACACGGAGGACGTTAGCAATCATCTCAACATCCAAGTTAAAATGTCCATCGCGGCACGTACCCATATTACATGTATGTTCTTTAATGTATCTTCCAACTTTCCACATGTTAGTATGTTTTTCAATAAAAGAAGTTAGCCTAAATCGACATCCTTGTTCTACACGCCTGCAAACATGTCGCCATGATTTCTTTGTCGATTTAATAACAAAGTACTCTCTCGCTATCTTTAAATGTAGAAGCTTAACTGCTCTTTGCAACTGCTTCTTTGAATTGAATAACATGCCTTTTTCAATATAAATAGTACTATTCATGAAAACTTCCGATTCACGCCACGTATGTTGTGATGAATATTCATCATGTGTATCGCCAAAGATATTTGAACCTTCTAGGAGATGATCAAGATAAGGAATTTCATGATTGCGAAACGGACTCATGGACATTGATTTTGGCGACCGAATGGGCATTAAAAAATCATCATCACTAGATGATGCCTCAAATGGAACATTATCTCCTGATTCCTCGGTATTAGGCAAATCATCACTATCACTAGCTGAAGGTGAGCCGTAATTTGGAGGTCACGATCATCGATATTCACAGGATCAATGGGCTCATCTTGTGTGATATTTTCCCTATATATGTAAAAAAGTATAACTATTTATCTCATGCAATTAACTTACTTGAATAAAAAATCAAGTGTTGGACATACCGATAATCATCTGCATCAAAAGTAGGCGAGACATGAAAATTTGAGGATGTCCCAACATTTTCCGTCATTTCAAAGTGTGAGGACTGACCAAAATAATTATCTAGTCCATAACTTGGAGCAATATTCCTATCTTGCTGAGGTAAAACCGCTACAAAATATATAATAATAATAATAAATCATATAAATTAATAAATAATTGACAAAATCAATAAATAATAATCGAAATATAATTATTGAGCATTACCAATCACTTTCATTGATAGTTTCGTTCAAATCAAAATCATATTGACCGATAAGAAATTTTTTGATAATGAGTCATGTTAGGAAAATCAGTAGATTGAGTTATCGGAAATCCATCAACGCTATTATGATTTTCTAATCGAGGATGAACATCGATCGATAAAGGAGAACGTTGTTGACTAGTCTTAGGCTCCTTCCTAACATAGATTTCAAGTATTGTTAACTTGATTTGATCTATGTAGTCATCTGGAACCCTCAAAAAAGTCGGTCAACGATTCGTCATTATAGATAATCCACTCTCCAAAATTTACTTGTCCTTGTGATAAAATGAAGTAGGGTATTTTCCGACTATAATCAAATTATAAACAGTACTGTTTATACCCATTCTTTTATAAATTGATGAAAGAAATTTATGATATCGGACATTAATTGAATATTTAGCATTGTGTTTGGGAGGACAATTATAATAAACGGTATTTTCATCATGTATAATTTCGCCATCCCAATAAATAGAAACTCTAACTTTTGGTTTAGAAGACATTTTTTTTTGAGATTAAAATGAACAAATATAGAAGACTTTATGTTGTAGGTGCTATCAGTTAATGTTTGAACGTCCTCCTTAAATAGAGATTGGAGGATTTTTCAGAATAAAAAAATAAAAATACGTAGTGTAATAATTTTTTCGTTTTTATGATATGTCAAATCAATATAATTGTATGACAAACACTGCAAAAGAGATAAAAACGTGAAAATATTCCTCTTTGTAAAGTGGAATTATTTCTTCCACTTTGTGAAGTGTAAGAAATAGTTCCATTTTATAAAGTGTAGGAAATAGTTCCGTTATATATTAAAATATACACGTTATGAGACTAACGAAAAAAGTTTAGAATATTAGATAAAGTGGAATTTTTTCTTCCACTAAGCCTATTTTAGTTACTTACTAAAGTAATGGCTTATTTTGGTTACTTTTATGTTTTTGTGGCTTATTTAGGTTCCCAGCTCGGTATTTAAATGGGTGGGTTTCTAAAGGGAATTGGGTATTTAAAATTGGAGGTGGGTTATTTGATTCCTATGTTGACAAGTGTTATTCCGTTAAAATCAGGGGTATATTGTATCAAAGTATAATGGAAGGGGTATATGTGAACCGAAAGTATAACGATGGATATATTTAAACCATTTCCAATATTATAGGGGTATATTTGACCCTTTTCCAAATAGAAAATTAGGCTGGAGTCGATTGTATGAAAAAATAGAAAACTCTAAATATTCTATATTCTACTATATTATAAAAGAGAGTTTAGGCCCAAGTATAATATATAATATTCAAGATTGAGAC